TCAGTGTGACATATGCAGGATTAGTGGGGGGGGGGCAGACGGGGGGATGAGTAAATGAGTAATTGAGTTCCAGTTAAGAGGCCTGCACATGTCATCTGACTTGCTGTAATGGGTGTGTATTTCTAACCCTCTCGGAATATCAGGAAAAGGTTTTTTCTTCCTTTTTTGGGCTGGAAATCCTGCCCAGTCCGCTGGTGCTGCCAGGGGGTTGTGTGATGACACCTGTGTAAACATGAGACCTTCCCCGGGGCCATCGCAGTGCCTATCTGTGACAGTCAGGCTGGGGGGGTGTCCTGCAGGTGGCGCTGCATAGCTCGGCCCACCTAGGCCCTGTCGGGTGATGTCACCCTGGGAATCGCATGCTGGCCAGCAGCTGTGACTTGCGTGTGAATATATGTTGTTACTTATTACCCAGGTATTGGTTCCAGGGTAGGGTTTGGTTCCTGGACTTTGGGTTCCAGCTTAGGGTTTGGTTCTCGGATTTAGGCTTCCACCTTAGGGTTAGGGTCCTGGGTTTAGGTTCTTGGCTTTGGGTCTTGGGTTATACCACACCATGAATCAGCGGCTGATTGGCCAGCAGACGAGGGAGGTTCCCTGAAATTGCTTTGCTGTGGCTCTGCCAGATGGGCATCGATCTCTATAAAACCCATCTATTGAAATATTTAATTTATCTCATCTCCAGTGGCTCACTGGACTTCACCGGGAATCTGGAGCGCCTTTGGGAAGATTGGGGGGGGGTCCGCAGAGTCGCTCCTGGGAATGGAGTTGCTGTTTATGGGGGGAAAACGTCGGTCATGTCTGTTTGGTTTCTTCATGTTTTTTGTCTTGAAGCGCTGCATGTTTTAAGGAGCAGGAACTGAGACAATGGGGAAGTTCTACTCCTCTCGAAATGACCTTATGCCGCTCGCTCCCATATATAAAGACTCTTGTAATAGTTGCCTGCTTCCTCATCGGGGAGCTGCTTTTGAGACGTGTGCCTCCATCAAAGGCGCCGTCTCGGCGCCGTCGCTCAGATGTTCTCCTTCCCATCAACACAGGTATCCTAATACGCTGCATGTTTTCCACTGGATGTAATTCAGAGTACCGTAATCTGGAGGTAATTTTTGGTGGTCTGGTGCGCTGCCGGGACCGACCGTACACGAGGTCACCTCAACATCCCACCTTTGGCTGGTCCTGTGCGTTTGCAGGAGCGTCTGCCCCTCAGCTCTGCTCTTACCTGTCCAGGAATAAAGATCTTTATTTGCCATTGTGTGACCTGTTTGGTGTGGGTGTCCCCATATGGATGTGCAGCTCTCTCTTTACCAGAGACCCCCCTCACTAAAAGGGCCTGGTGACAGACTGCAAATGCGAGCAAAACCAGAAGATGTTTAAGCATAATTTATTTAATTAAATTAACCCCGGGGTTCGAACCCAAGTTCCTTGGACATTGCCCATGCTGTGGGGAGTCAGTGTCTTGACCTGTCTGCCCCCAGTGTACTGGCGCAGCTTCCGCCTGGTGCCACCCACACTGGACACTCCTTTGCTCTCTCAGTCTGGGTGTTATGGGGGGGGGGGGTCCTCCTGAACAACCACATTAGCAGTGTGCATGGTACAGTGAGGCCAGCTGTTACTTTCTGCACATCTGGAGACGTCAGAGAACAACCACCAGCCTCGGGTGCAGGCACAGGGCCGCCAAGCATTTCGGCTGCTGTAATTATTCCTAATTAGTGGGCTGACAGTGTGTGCCCCCCGCCCACCTCAGGTGGGAGTCCAGTCGTGTGAAATGCAGATTACCGCTGCGGCCGGGATGGGATGGTACTGGAGGGAGGCGGTTGGCAGGCGGACTCGCATGGTATTTGGGGTGGGGGGTGGGTGTTTCCAGTCTGCCAAGTGCTGTTTACACCACATGGTCTCCGAGCCCTCCTAGCCAAGAAAGCCGTGCTACAAGTGAGCCTTTGTTTGTTATTAATCACCGCTAATTAAAGTGAAACCTGATTTGCCTGCCAGTGCCTCATCGGACCTGCTCCCTGCATCTATGGCCGCTGCCTCTGGTTCGCTCCGCGAGGCCCGCATTACCGTGTCCGGCCAGCGGGGCCACTTAGGCAGCATTTGCCAGCGCTCGCTCTCTCTCACCCTTTTAGTGTGACCCCCTGTGACCTTTCCCATCAGAAACGTGACTGCGGGCGTTTCCTCAGTTGCATTTCGCAAGCTGCTGCCAGGCCGGTTTGCACCACGCCCCCTAGTGGCAAGAATTTTGCGGGGTGGAGGCAGAACAGCCATTAACGTAAACGATTGCATCTGGACCCATCGCCAGCTCAGGACCGCCTTCTGCAGTCCTTCCCCTTGGCTGGTTCTGGATCACATACGCCTTCTGTTACGCAACACCATTACGGACCGGCCTGCTTTTACAGGCCAGGTTTGGATGAATGTGCTTTTAATCCCATGAATCTGTTTCCTTTGGAGCCGTATTGATTTATATATGATATACTGTTACATTTTTATTAAAACAATGTTGCTGTGGAGGTTATATCAGGGCTCTGTTTTTCTGAGCAGTGTTTTACACAATCGCAAAGCTGTTACTGCGGTGATGAATTTACTGTGTTGTGCAAGGCGATGGGCAGGACGTGATACTTTAAACCAGGACGTGATATTGTACCCCGACCGGGGAAAATGCAAGCACAGACGGAAGCGGCCCGGCGGATGGTTGAGACACACACTGGTGGCCGTCTCCTGGTGATGGCTGGTGGGAAATGCGTGCTCTGTGGCCAGCCAGCTCCCTTTTCAACATCCTTAATGAGGTTTGATTGGATGCTATTCTCCCTGCCAATCAGAGCTGAGACCCTCAGTGGTCCCGCCTCCATGGTTTTCGTTGTGTTCCCTTAAAGTCATTATTATTATTTCCATTTTATTTCGGAGTGGTTTCCGTCATCACCGTTTAGTGATGTCAGACATGCACTGGCGTGAGTTGATTAACCTGTTTGTACAGTTGATTAGCACTGGGGGTAGGAGGCGGGGGGGTCAGTGTGCAGATGCATGTGGGGGGAGTGCGATTAGCTTATTCCGAAGGCTGAGATAACCACCTGTTCAGGCACTAAGGGTGCTGGTGGAACAGCTGACCCTGAGAGGAAGGAGCCACGTCGTCTGGGATCCGGGGGGGGGGAGCTGGGTACTATGCTTCATACATGAGATGGAATCTTCCAGTGAAATACCCAGATTCGGAAACATGAAAAAGGTCAACACTGGAAGCTCTTAGTGTCTGAGGCGTGACTAAGGAATTGACGTCATTTTAGGGAACTTTAATGGGACAGAACCAGGGCACAAACATTCCCCTCCCCCTGTAAGGACCTGCCAGTGCACAGCCAATGGGGTGCAAGTGGGCGGATCCCGAATGACCGGCCCAAAATAGTTGTTGAGAAATGCACATTTGCTAGAAGGCAAACGTTACGTAATGTAGTAGAAGCATGGAAATGAAATACCTGTTTTCTTACTAATTAACTTTCCTAACCTTTTTTAATAAGTGACAGCTTTTGGGTAACATGGCACCCCAGGTAGTGTAAATACAGGATGTTTTCCGTAACATGGTCAGGATACAAACTTACAGAATATTTTCACAGAAATTTACCTGATGCTCGGTGTGGAGTATATTAAAGCATTAAGACTCTTCATGTTTGTGTGTTTAGTGCCCTGATGGTGTTGTTCTTGTGAGAAGCAGCAAATTTTGTTATCAGCATGTTAGACTGAAGGTCAGGGCTACAAAGATCGCCCCCCCCCCACCGCCCAAGCATATGTAGCACTTTGGAGTTGACTTCCACAATCCCGCCGTTGTCACTGAAAGTGTCACTCATTGGTAATGTCAGTTCTCGTTAATGGCCATGATTCTCCGCTGGGGGGTGACCTAACCCTAACCCAGTGTATCATGTTCACTCATCACTTATTACATAGTAACTCAGTATTACATAGTAACTCTTGTTCTCTTGTGAACTCTGCACCTGGGACATCTTTATAGTTCCCACAGCGCATGAGTGCCTGCTATAAACATGACCCAGTTTCTCTAGCCTGCTCTCTGCTGCCCCCTATGTGTCATCAGTGGGTAGTTTCTGGCATGGTGGAGACTGGGATGTGTCCCTATCAAATGTGTGCCCTCCAGACGGGAAATGGGTAACAGGCTTGGGCGTCGTCTCTGTGCCACACCTGGGCGCTCTGCTTCTATTGGCTGAGGAATGGGAGGGGGTGTTAAGAGGCTTCCCAGGCAGCACCGTCGGCCCAGAGGCCTGGCTCCTGTCCGATAATTACCCCCCCTCATAGTAAACCTTTCTCACTTCCTGCTGTTCTTCGCACCATTTATGGCGTTAGATCTCTCGTTTTTCTTTTCTGGAATCGTCTGTCACTTCGCTGGAGCGCGAGCGAGATCTGCCCGGGCTTTAATCAGCAGCCTTCTGTGCCGGGAGCTTGTTCTGTCTGAGCGGTCGGGTTGCTGTCTGCTGTCTGTCTGTGCGGGTTACGACAAGCGCATCCCGGAAGGTCACAAGTCACGGTTGGCGTTTATGGTGATGGAGAGAGGGAGGGTGCAGCTGCATGCTGGGAATCCAGCGGTGAGTTACTCTTTTGGTGACTCGCCGGGTCGCGGTCCCTCTGCATCTTCATGTGTCCGTATCTGTGCGTGCGTGTGTAAGGAACGTCAGCCCTTCCGTACATGGACATACGTGTCCGTGGCCAGACTCATCTGTGTCGGTGGCAAAATGGTTTGTTTGAGGAACGAAAACTATGTAGGCTGCGTTTTTAAATACCATATGTGTGGTAAAAGAAATGCACTTTGATCAAAATGCCCTTCAGAATTCGCCGTGGTGATGCCCTTGTGTGTGTGTGTGTCTTAGTGTATGCGTATGCATGTGTGTGTGTCTGTGCATGCATGTGTGCATTATATGTCTGTGTGTTTATGCATGTGTGTCTGTGTGTGTGTCTGTGTGTGTGTGTCGGCACTAGGTGCAGTTTTGGTCTCATGTGTCCTTTCCTTTCTACAGAACATCCACATAAAAACACTGGCTGATGATATGGTAAGGTGCCCCCCCTGCCCCCCCCCCCCCCCCCCCCCCCCACCCAGGGGGACTCTGTGGCATCATCCATTTTGGTTTTAATCACCTCTTTCATCATGACTGCATGGCACATTAAAAAAAAAATGAATAAATAACCTATGAATGTTTGTGGAGACGTGATGACCTGAGAGCTCACCCTGTTTAGACCATCATCACCACCATCATCATCATCATCACCATCATCATCTTTATTACCATTTTTATTATTAGCCCGGTTATTTGTAACGCTGACGCCTTGTCTGTAGTTTGAGATGCTCCATTTCCTGTCAGAAACTCCGAGGGCGTCTGACTCCATCTGTAAAATTTACCTTTCATATGTAGGAGCTTCTACAGTTGCTCTGTATTATTTTAAGACTGGACAGGGGTGCTTAAATGCATTTTGAAATAAATATTACTCTTTAATATTAGGTGATGTGGTTTGATTCAAATGAATCAACCTAAATTCTGATACATTGAGGGTATGTTGTCTGTAGGGGGCTCTGCCTTTGGTAGGTTGTTGTCCCCCCCCCCCTCTGATATCTGTCTGCACAGATAGTAGTGGGACTCCGGGCTGTAGAATGCCAGGCTTGCTGAATGCCCCCCCACCGGTGGTTTTGGCTCCAGCGGCCGCCTGCGTCGGTCTGGTTGAGCTGGGCTGAGTCTCACGATCCACTTTCAGGGCCCATCGTGTTTCCACAAAGATTCCCACGTGCCGTCGTTTCCGTGTCTCTCTATTACTGCCGTCGCTGAGTCACGTGACCCCATTCTCACGGCATGCCCATCCTAAGCTCATCCTCATGCCGGGTGCCCACTAACTGCATCGGCTGCATGATGTCAATCACGCACCCCCCCCTCCCACTGCCACTGTAACACCCCCACCCCGCAAACCTGTGCGGCCTGTATGTTGTCAGTTTTTCATTCTGGCCCTCGAACCCGCCGTGAGCCCCCCCCCTCCCCAACCACCCCAAGTCCGTTCTCGGGGTAGTTCTCTGCATGTGCTATGACAGTAGCGCCCCCTGCTGACTGAGTGGCTGTAGCAGTGACATGCGTGCAGGTAAGTCCAATCTGCTCTGATTGGTCGGCCACGCCAGGTGCTGTACAAGTGTGGTGTGTTAAGTGCAAATAGCAACCCAGTCATGTGACCATGACAGGGGGATCTGGGAGGGTGGTATGTACTCTCACTGTACAGTTTGACTTTACTGCACATTGCACACTGTTTATTTTAATTACTATATTAATTCCTAATGTTTATATTTTTATATTTCATATTATTTCAATATAATTAATTATATAAGTATTATTTAGATTATTGTTAATATTTTTTATTTTTATTTGTTTAATATTTTGTCTTTTTAATAATATCCCCTGTTTCTGGAGTCATGCAATCAAGCATTTCCCTCCATTGTACTTAGTATGTAAAAAAGTGGCAGCCTGTATCACCCAATCAGACTGCACCCTCCCCCAAGGCGAGCTTGTTGCCCCCCTACGCCTGTCCAATACGTTTCTGTCCCCCCCCCCCCCCCCGCCCCCAGCGTGACCGGATCACCAGTTTCCGGAAGACGGGCACGAAGAAGGAGAAGCCGCTGATCCAGCACCCGACAGACCCGCAGTCGGCCCAGACTGAGATGCCGGTGCCGCAGCCGCTGTTCGACGATCGCTCCATGAACCTGTCCGAGAAGGAGATCGTGGACCTCTTTGAGAAGATGATGGTGAGTGAGCTGAAAGGAAGCAGCTACAGGGAAGGTGGTGAGGTCCTCCTGTCCTTGGGGGGGGTGCTCTGTCATGCTGAAGAGAGACGAGCCCCTTTATACACGTACTGTCTCTGTTACATGCCAGTCACTATTCTGTAGCTTCTCTTCATGTGATATCCAACTCCCAACAGGTCAAATTTTGTTCCCCCAAACTCTGTTCCAGACGAGTGCACGGTATCAAAAAATGAAAAAAAGGAAGTTTTGACCAAAAGGTCAAATCTAATAGTCCCACGAGGGATGTCTGATATTTTTATCCAGAGAGTTCTCCACGGTTTGTGCATCTGGGCTGTAGAGCAGCAGGGCAATTACTGAAACCACCTGGTGAACTTCTGTGTGTCCTTAACCATTGCGCCATCTGCTGCCACCACCTGTTACCTGCTTCTCATAATTATGCATCTCAGTTTCTTCAGTTAAAAGCGCTGTTCCTGTATCTGTGTACGGTGTAACCCTGTAAGATCCTGGCTGTGATGTCAGCGCCTCCTCACATACTCCTCACATATAAACAAAAAGGGGGGCCTTCTGTATGTTTCTGCCACGTACACTTTGGCTCAGGGGCTTGTCCTCAAAGCAGTAATGTGAGGGACTAGTATTTGTTTTACAAACCATTGCACGTACCAGGGTGGTGGACCTGGTATGACAGAAGAGTGCCCCCCTGTGGATGGTTAATTTTTAATGTTGTTATTTTTTATATTTAAAGGATTTTTTTTGGAATATAATAAGGTGCATTATGCTAAATGGTGGTGGTGGGGGGAGACATTTGAATCCCCAACTCTGTAGGTGTGATGCCAGATGCTACCCATTGCGATGTGTGATTAGTGTGAACATAGACTCACATGGAGGCCACATATGGGGCTTGAAGGTCTGTCACCACTGGCGTGATAAGGGACCCCACCACATGCAAGCGCACACTCATGCAAACAGACACTCACAAATGCCCACTCTCCTTTTATTTCTATAGGCATAACTCTATAACTCTAATCCCACCTATAACAACCTTAACCCCTACCCAGCCTTAACCATAAGTAACCAAAGAAAATACAAGACTTTTGGCATTTTCAGTTTTTTGATTGCAGTCACACGTAGATAATGTCAGATCCTATTTAGGGGGGCTTCAGCCACTCTATTTTTTTTCTCAGCCCCCCTGAAAAATTATCATTCTAAACAGCTGTTAATGTGTGTGATCAATTTTAAAATAATGTTATAAAGTAATTTTAATCATGTCAACTCACAAGCCCCGTTTGGGATCTGGACAATGCGTTTATTGAGTTTTCTGTAGCACATTGTTAGTCTGTTGCTGTCATTTTTTTGAGTTTTTGAGGTTTTCGTAGTAACTTTGTATATTTCTAGCTATAATTTGTATATTTCACCCCACCGTTGGGAATAGTGAGCGCTTAACTCACATTGCAGTCTTCAAATTCCTTTCTGAAAGGTATTCATAAGTATTAAAAAACATACATGCATAGAAACATTCTTGTCTCTTCTGTTGCTTTTTAAATGTAAATTACACAGAAGTTTTGTTCTAAAGTCCACAAATAGATTATAAAGTCTCATGAACAGTGATTCTGGCCGTGCCTTTTATCCACTAATGCAGACTTTTATAATGTAACGCTGCCTGACTGCATTTCAAAATTAATTGTAATTCATGTTCAACTTCTTGATGTGGAAATAGTGAAGGAAGTATAATGTAACCTCTCTTTAAACTTCCTCCTGCTGATTCCCCCTCTGATTTCACTTTTTTACTTTGTAGCTTGCTCAGGCTTTTCCTCTTCTTTCCCTTAAACAGATAGCTATAGTACTTACATATCTAATGGGAAAAATGGGGTAGGGTGAATGCAATCCCAAAAAACAGGATACGAGTGGTCAATAATGTAATTATAAGCATTTTAAGTAAGAAATAATAATAATAATACATTAGTAAATCGTATGGTAAACATCTCCAAGGGGTCTTATGAGTCTCACCAGAATTGTCTAGTAACCGCTTCAACCGAATGTGCCAAACTCGCTAACTTATTGATGGCCAAGAATCGGGAGTAACGATGGCTAAAATGATGCTTCATGAGCTATTTGTTTATTTTTTCTGACCCCACTAGTTGGTGCTCTTGGTTTACTTTGGGGCACGTTTCTGAGCCCCGTTTTGAACAGCACCATCTAGTGGCGTCAGAAAATGCAGCAAATGGTTCATGCAGCGTTGTTTTGGCCGTCAGTAGATGGGAGTAGTGAACCGCAGCCGCCGTGTGTTCGGGCATGGACACAGCACAAGTGCAATGGGTCACGATGTGCAGAGGGGCGCTGAAGGCAACATGGCTCCAGACAGTCTACGTAAAGCAAGTGGAATTAGAAAAAGGTTGCTGTGTATTTTCATACGATAATTTGTCAAATATTATTAGATTTGTAGAATCAAACACTTTGACCTGTGCAATGTGTGACTGTACAAAAAGTTCTTTTAGATTTGAAAGCCGGTTTGACCGATTCACTTTGAAAAAAAACTGTTCAAAAGAACGATTTATTCATCAATTGGACATCACACACATTCAATTGATGTTTCTCACTGAGCAGTGCTGTCCTGATAACAGCCCCAAAACTGATAAGACCACGTGTCATTAGAGTCTCTGCAATGCTTTTCTCTCTGACTGAAAATTGAGCAATTACAAACGCGATCCCGTGTTGTATTAAACTTGGTTACTAATATATCAATCATGTTAAAACAGATTTGCGATGTGATATCATGCGTTATAGCAGGACTGATTGTAGTAGTTTTGTGTTGTCAATCTTTAATGTTTTTGTACTTTAACAATTATTTTTAACAGTAGCAAACTGCTGCATTATTTGTTTGTTAATGTATTATTGTATCTGACCAGCATTTTTTTTCCTGTAGGTGAACATAATTGCAATGTATTTTCAACAAAATATAACGTGATTGAATATGAGATTAATCATTCAGATTATATGATTAATCACGATTAAAAAAATGACTTGACTGTCAGCCATAATTCTAAATCCATCTAGTAATTTCATTTGGTATTTTTTGAGGGTTGATCCCCACTAAGGATCAAATTCTAAAATCACCCCTGCATTTACAGATTAATATAAAATTGAGTTTCCCCTTGTGGGGACTGAAAAAATGTCAAAAGGTCAAAATAACAGGTTTTTATCACTTTGTGGTAAGACTTGCACCACATACAACACAATAATAATGTAATTCTAAACATTACTTGCATTTTAAACAAGGCCATACAGAATTTTAAAAGCAATAGAAAATAAAACAACAACAATAGCACCACATTCTCTGATGTTTCATGATTTAATTTATGACAAAAATTACAAAACAATATGTTTAAAAATTGAGATTGGTCCGGCTTTGTGGCCATATTATTCGACAAGTGAAAGGGATGTAAGCTGCAGGAATTTAGAACTCTGACCTTTGGTTATCGGGCAGCTTCACTCCTGTATGTGCTGATAAAGCGTGATGAAGCATGTGCTCTGCATAGCTGTGCAGCCATCAGTATCGACCATGTAGTCTGCAAAGATCAAATGGCCAATGCCAATTGCCATAAGATGGTCATGATGCATAAATATCAGGTGATTTATATATATATATATATATATATATATATATATATATATATATATTTTCTTTCTGGTCGGTCAATTGTTCAACCTCCAAGGGCTCTTTTCCATCGCACCAGGTATCGTACTTTTGGTACTTCAAGAAAGTACCAAAAGTATGTTACTTCAAGGTGTTGGTTTTCCACTGGCGTAAAAACTGGTACTGACGCTGCATGACATCACAACTCATTGTTGTGGTATTAATACCAACATTGCATGTTATGCACATACAATTCTTACATCGCTAGTCAATTAGATTAAGATCAGGCTTCTTCTTACATTCAATTCTATATATGGGCATTATTGCGCAGGGAGTTTTTCCCTAAAACATTTTTACACTGTCATAGAAAAAATAACTTTAGGTAGCGTTGCAGTTTTAATTATTAATCCTTTAATAGATTATCTTAGGCTACGTTCACACTGCCAGCCACATCGTTCAATTACGATTTTTTGTCTATCTTGACGGTTCACATTCATAACTACAAGTGACCTGTATCTGACTGTAATGTGAACGCATCGGTCCTCTGAAACGTCATGCATGCGCACATTGATACGTTTTTACACGGGTAGAAGGATGGTCGTAAAATCGGGACGTTGTGCAGCCATGACCGCTGCCGTTGATTCGAGTCTTTCGCCTCCATAAACTTTGACTTCAGGCTCTTTATTTTTCTTTGGCATTGAAGCCACGTTCGTTCGTGTCCGCGCTGTGCCATTTCTTTGGCAATTATTTCAATTACTATTCTATTACGATAGATTCCTTCCAGTTTAACTTGAACAGATTCATTTCCCCAAATATCAATTAAATCCCCAACTTCTCCATCCTTCCACTGACTGTTATCACAGCTCTCCCCCATGTTTACCTTCCAAATTCAGTCTTTATTGCAACAATGAAGTTACAATCAAGGCCGGACACTTAAAGTGTGCCCAATACTGTTTTACACCAATTTTTATACATTTTCTCATTGTGTAACAATATCTCGCCACTTAAGCATCATCATTCCCTCAACCATTCACCATCGTTGTTTTCTCCCTTAATCCACACCCCTATATGATAAGTTTGTCAGTCATCTTTTTTACTGTTTGGTGCCTCGGCTGAACATAAGGGTGACGTGACCATCTCTACTCAGTTTTTTAAATGCCCAGCCGTGATTGGTGAACTCAGGCGAATCCCTTCCCTCAGTAGCAAACCTTGGCAGCTTCTGCTTGTTGCAGATTGTCTGGCTAGAGGGTTAATAAGGTAAATGTCCTTCAACTTAGTGATAAGCTGCAGCACTAATAAAGTTTAAGCCAACAGAAGGTGTTCATTCATACTTGTTTTTTATCACATTGTACACAGCAGTAGCTGGTCAGCATTCTCTGAAGGTTACAAAATCACTCTCTACACAGTTTACATCAGCTTCTTAATAGAGTCCTAATGATTACATTCTCTATGCGTTATGAAATACTAAATAATATTCCATAAGGTCGCATGGCCGCGAATCGGATACGTATCAGATTTAGTACCACATATGAAAGTGACAAAAATCTGATTTGAAAATGTAAGATTTGCGTGTCCACACAGCCCTAAAAAGATCAGATCTGTGTCACGTTAAGGCAAAAAATCCGATTTGAGTCACTTCAGCATGGCAGTGTGAACATAGCCTAATATATGTTTAAAACTCAGTTTAAAGTTTACCTTCGCTGCTTTTGCATGAGCGCTTCATGCATTCTCCGAAACAATCGTAATTATTTTTTTGCTTGCTGTTATAAAGCACTCCTAGATGGGATTGTGAGAAATTTATTAACTCCTCTTTGCTTTATAAATACCCCAGTATTTATTACAACAAAATCACACCGCTAGGACAGTATATTAGTATATTAAACAGCACTCCATATGTGTGCTGTCCTAGTATATTAAACAAAATACTTTTTAAATTTCTTGTCATACAATTCTTATCTTTTTGTTGTATCTGTTTTTTTTCTGTATCTGTGTTTTTGTATCTGTTAACTTTGTTAATCGTTGTTTTCTGAGTTCGTAACGGTTTTAACGGCAGCGTTTTATATTGTGTTCCAGTGGCAGGCTGTTTGCATAACCAGTCAACATAGAAAGCGTTTCCAGTCCCACCCCGAAGTGCCCGAGTACCAAACAAATACCCCGGCTGGTTTGGGACTTTTGGTACTGGCACTCGAGCAGAAGTCGATGGAAAAGGGAGAGTACCCAAAGTACCGTACCCAAAGTACCGTACCAAAAGTACCGTACCCAAAGTACTTGGTGTGGTGGAAAAACGCCCTAATAACCCACTCAAATAAACACACACACACACTTGCTTGTCAAGAGACTAGTTTTATCAACAGGTAAGTATTACAAACACAAAATATGCATAGTGTAACTTGGAAAAAAAGCAAAACATTTATTAGTGGAAAATTTCCTCATGTATTTTTGAACAAGTGTTCTAGCATTTTTATTTCTGACTTTTTGTGTGTTTTTATGTTTTTTATGCGTTTCACTTTCTGTATCAATATATATCATGTGGTGTGAGTCTATGTACATAAGTAGTGTTTGTTCCCAGGTTGTATTTTCAGATGAAATGCCATGCTTCCCCACTAGGGGGCAGCATAGCTCCACCTGTAATGTATGGTTGCAAACTACTGCTGCTGGTTTGACACTGGGGTCTCTCTGTTTGTTCCTCTCTGCGGCTACCTGGCCATGTTCTGTTTCCCTGCCCTTAGGCTCATGCCCCTAAGCCCATTCAATATGCTGTGGTGTTACTCTTGGATTGTCATCATGTTTATTCTTGTGTGTGTGTGTGTGTGTGTGTCTGTGTGGTCCTGTCTGTCGCCCAACAGGAGGACATGAACTTGAATGAGGAGCGCAAGGCTCCCCTGCGTGGGAAGGACCTCAGCACCAAGCGGGAAATGGTGGTCCAGTACATCTCTGCCACTGCCAAATCTGTAAGTCCCTGGCGTGTATGGCTGCTAGGGTGGCTCTGAGTGTGGCCTTGGGTTGTGGGGGTGGTCTTAGGTTGTGGGTGTGGCCTTGGTTGTGGGTGTGGTCATGGATTGTGGGTGTGGCCTTGGTTGTGGGTGTGGTCTTGGGTCGTGGCCGTGGCCGTGCCTGTGGCAACCCCTTTCAGGCTGTGTGTCATAATCTGGGCTGCTTTTCGCTTTCCTGCTCTGCTCGTGTCCCCGATCGCTGCTTTCCATCTTTCCTTTTGTTTTGCCTCCCCTGGTGCTTGTTTCAGCAAATTTCCATTAAACTGACAAACACCCAAATGACACAATCGAGCGACTGGTGATCCATCCCTTCCCCCCGCGTAACCCCAATCCCTCCCATTTCATTGACATCAGGCAGTGAGATCTGAGGATGTGCTGTATCTGGGGCCAGGCCTCGGGTGCGAGGTGGGTGTATGGTTATTTCACCCGGCGGAGGCGGTTCTTGCCCATTCATCTGTTTCCACACGCTTGTCCTCAGGACTGTCTTCGTAAAGCACCTATCGTGCCAGTTAGCCATCATGCTAGGAGACGGAGCGCCCTAGGAAGGAGGAGGAATCATGCATCGGGGGTGTCAAGATGAAGGGGCTTCACTCACTGTGGCTGGCGCTGCTTTCTGCCCCCCAGCAGGGAGCAGACATATGTCTGAGTAGGCAAACAGCACCAACCAAAGTGATGTTTTGGGGTTGCTGTCAGGACGGCACGAGTCGCAGAATCCACTGGTGCTTTTGCCACACATGGGGATGCCCATGAGCATCAGCCTGCAGCGGCTGAGAGTGACAGGGGACTGGACATCCTTTAGGCCGGCCACTGACCAGCGTACTTTTATAGAGCGCCCTGCCCATCACGGTTACTCTGAAGCCAGAGATTAGTTGTCAGATGTAGTGGCAGCTTGTCCTTTTGTCTGTAGCACCTCCTTCTGGTCATAGCGTTTATTGCGGTGGTGGTACACCATGACCTTGAGGCCTGAGATACAAACACGGTGACAGTCGCTAATGTTATCGTGACTGATAAGCTACTGATTAGTTAGCTGGATAAGCGGGCGACTGAGTCAGGAATCAGCCTGCCGTGTACCAACCTGATCCCTGATTGGCTGAGGCTGTCTAGCACGATAAGCGCGCGACTGAGTCAGGAATCAGCCTGCCGTGTACCAACCTGATCCCTGATTGGCTGAGGCTGTCTCGCCATTTATGTTATTCGAGCTGCAATTGTCGTCGTTTGGGATTGCTGTTTGTGCCCCCCTCCCCTTGGCAAATGCCCTCCCTTCTGTTGACGCTGACATGTTCATGCTCCACCCCCTTACCCCACGTGGCTCCCCCCACATTTTGTGTTCTCATTGGTTAAACCTGATTAATGCCTTTTCCTGCCTTTTAAGAAATCTGACGACACCCGACACACCTGCAAACACTGCAGCTAATCTGTGATTAATCCGGCCTCCTGCCCCCACCCCACATGTCTCCTACTGCCTGCCCCCCCCCCTCTTCCCAGGCTAGCGGCCATGTCTCACCTCCCGGCCCTAAACGTGGTGTCTTTCCCGCCCATCCAGTCACAAGGCAGACCCACACGCATGGCCTGCACGCATGCCCTCGACAGCTCGCTTACCGTCGCATGCAATGCGCTTCCTGCCAGATGCTGTTAAACCCGCTGCCTGCTCTCCCCAACTGCCCTTTTGATTGTTTCTCCTCCTGCTGCAAATCTTGAACTTTTTTTCATGTCATGTGACTATAAAAAGAAAATATGGTATTAAAAGGGTTAATGTCAGAGTTTTTAAAAAAAAAAAAAAAAAAAAAAAAAAAAGAAATCTTTCGGGAGGGCTGGGGGAATTTGCAAATAGTTCTTGCAGTCGACAAGCATCCATTTATAGCCTGAACAGGACAAATCTTCAAAAGCGAGCCGCAGAATTTATAGAGTTATTATAATATTTTTTTCCTGATGAAATCAGTGGCAAGGATCTGCCATGCGGCAGCCTTAACGCTGCCTTAACGCTGCCTGACAGCTGGCGGGCCTGGCGAGGCGCCCCGGCGCCCATCTCTGCATCGGGGGACGCATCAGAGGATGGAGGCGGGCGGGCGGGCGGCCGCAGCGAGCTGCCACAGCGATATAAATACGGATGTTGCGGGCAGGGCGTGACGGCCAGATCTGTGAGACTGCCATTCCCCCCAAACCTCTCAAAGATTCACCCAGATAAAAGTGGCGAAGGAGCGCAGTTCCTGATAATGTCTGCCGAGTTGATCACGCTCAACTAAGACCATGCGAATGATATCTCACATATTTGCGTGTGGGATTTAAGTGGCTGTTTGCCGTATTAACCGCAAACTCGCAGTCGAGTCACCATGTGTGAAATTTTTAATGATTGATTTTTAATGACTCATTACAAGCCCCCCCCCATTTATCCATCCAGGTTACCCTGACAGTGGTCAGTACAGCCAGCGCTGTGCAAACCTGATAGGTGTCTGATGATTCGCAAGCTATTTCTGCATCATTTCTGAGTTGAGGACACTTTGCATAGAGGTGGGGGGTGAGGGTTGGGGGTGTCCAGGACGGGCCGCGCACCCACGTCTCTGTCTGCTGATCAGAACAGACGCCATGGGCATCAGCGCCGTCTCTGAGACGCGTCCCCAGTGGGGCTGGTGGCCTCCTCCCCGCTCTGTGCATCGATTCTTATCAGAATGTTGCATTTTGTGAATCGATTATAATGTTGAAATATCAATTGTCTTCTTACCTGGTAATTAAAACGCTGGTATTGTTATAAGGAGCAGAGGAGGGGTGGGGGTTGACTTTCAGGGGCACCAACACTAGTGATTAGAGAAATGTACGATTCGTCCCCCCGCCCCGGTTGACTGTCAGAATTGGCCCGGCAGTGGTGTGCTCCATCCCCCCCCCACGGCTAAGTCACGCACTGCGTCTGATCCCCACACCAACACAAATTCAGTTTCGCTTCATCTGCGCAGTGGCAAATCCACCTGTGTTCCTGTGGCCTTGGCATAGTGTCTGGGGCCACCAGACTCGCCGGGACATTCAGTGCAGACAGTAACCCCCCGGCCCCGGCCCCGGCCCCGGCCCCGGCCCCGGCCTGTTTATAAGGCGAATCGCGGCAAGAGCAGAATTTTAAATTGTAGTCTGCGCAGACATCAAAATGGCAGACATTATGTGGAAAGCGTGGCGGGCGTGCGTATGAATGCAGTTAGCCATGTGGGGCAGCTCCACTGCCCCCACACTCTCGCAAAGCGCACTCAGCCCCAGGGGGCCGACCCACTAACGACTCTGCTGTTTGTTTCTCTCGCACCCTAACCGCTCTGCGCTGACCACTGCATGCAGATAACCGGAAGCAAAGTTGCGGTAAGTAGCAATTATTTTGTTGCTTGTGAGCCCGTCTCCCCTTCACCCCCCCCCCCCCAACCCTTTCAAAATATGCGGCCAATTTCCACAAGACTATCGCTTTAGGTAGCGGTGTCTTGCCCTTAATTTAGCTAATATTCCATAATTTGAAAGGCTGTGAATTTGTGTGTGTGGGGGGGCATCTCTGGGTAAACCAGAGTCACATCAAATGAGGGATTTCCAAATTGCGCAGCCAAAAATGAACTGGGGGGGTGGGGATTGTTAATTCGAGCCGTTTTTCTCAGAAATGAATCGCAGGCCGGCATATATTAGCATTTAAACTCTGTAATGTTAGCGGTGAGCGATTTGTTTTTAAGTGAATCGTCAGCGTCTGCGATCCCTAATCTGTTTATTTTAACATATTGCATCTAAATGACTTTGCTCGCATGCATCTGTCCCTCCTGACAGGGCAATGAGGATGCATCACCTAATTATATTCTGCACATTGTTCTTTGATTGAACAGCCCCCCTAGATATTGAATGCATTCCCCCCATCAATATGCGGCCACAGTGATCTCCCCCTCGGTTATTGGGGCCCTTTTCTTTGTTCCGTTTCTTCTCTTCCTCTTCTTTCCCTCCTGCCATTGCTTTCTCAGAAATGTTTTTTTTTCTTCTGTATTTATGAGGCTCTCCTTTCCCCCATCCTCAGTAATCTTTGTAAACACGCAGCCTCCCACCTGAAGGGGGCGCTGCCTGATTCTCTGTCCCAGTTCACATTGCACTCACGTTGTGGTTCCCTGATTTCCTGGTCCCAGGTTCCCCCTTGGCTGTTTTGTGGGGTCATGGTGCTGGGGGGGGGATGTCATGTTGTCATCAGTGGCTTGTTTGGCTTTAAATCTGTGGTTTGGGCCCTTGATGCCTCCCCTTGTTCTCCTCTTTTGACTAGTTGGAAAATCCCTGGGGGAGGTGCAGGGGGGGGGGGATAGGGTGGGCAGTGTGCTTACCGCCAAGAGGGGCAGGGAGCAGGAGTGAGGAGCTGAGAGTGAGGAGCGTTCTAACTGCCTTTGAGCTCCCTGCATATTCATGAACTCCGTCTCAGTAAAGCCTCCTGCCATGTCGCTCACTGGTGTCTGCAGCCTTCACGCTACCCATAGTGTGCAGTAGCGTGTGACTCCATGCTGCTGACCCCCACCTCTGGCCCAGACAGGAGCCCTGTGGGGGCCGACGGGGGCCCGACGTGAGAGCTGCCATCTCGACAAGACTTTAAATAAACCCGGCAGCTTCTCATCGTCTGGCCTGGTTAGGGGTCGCCGTGATGCTGGGCCACTTAGTGTTTTGGGGGGGGGGGGGGGGTGGGGAGCCCCCCCAGGGGGATGAGCAGGCAGCCATGCCTCTGCTCAGCCTCAGGTGTGAAATTGAGATGGTATGTAACTGCAGCAGTGTCACCTGGTGATGTGATTCTGAGTCCTTGATAATTAGCTCTGGTTGCCGTCGGCGACCATGCTGCCTCCTGTCTTTAAAGGGCCGGCCAGCTCCGCCCATCAGGAGCTTCGGCGGAGATTGATGTCTGCGGGGTCACTGGTTGCCATGGAAACATCCTGCCAAGTGCCGATTGTGTCCGGAGGATGGGGTGAATTAAATAAAAAATAGCCAAAAAAGCTCTGATACATGTGTTGGGTGTGGACACTGCTTATAATGTGGTGCGTGGGGGTCTGTTTGAGGAACTGCGTCCCCCCTGTGGTTGGGGGGGCCTTACTGTGACTTTTTCCCTTGTACAGGTATTATGGGTGTTTCCCAATGCCATGGCATACACCAGCTCTTTCTGACTGGTCAGTGTCGGGGACCCGTTGCCGCTTCTCGCCCATTTGCCGTGGTGGGGGCCTACGTTTGCTGGTTTCTGTCACTCTGTTCTGTAGGCCACCTTTGCTGGAGCTGTTTTTGGTCCTCCTTCCCTGATGGGGGCGCTCACCCGAGGAGTTGCCGCATCTCGCAGGGGCCACCGACCTGGAGCTCCGCCTTTAAATGCCGTGTGTCCTTGCCGCCCTCAAGAGAAACTGTTTGACACAAATCGATGCCTGACGTATGTTTGGCTAATTGCCCAGCAACGAGGACTGGGTGCATAGGGCAGAAGTCACAAAGGAGAGCCCTGCCGAATTCACTTTCACTTCCTCTTTGGAAAGTGAAAAGGTCTCTTTCACTTCTCTGAGATCCTGAAAGCTGCATGTCTCCTTCAGAGCATGACGACGACAGACGGGAGCTGCTGGGGTTCCATCCTCCTCCTCTTCCTCCTGTGCATGCTGACACGTGGGCTTTTGGCCATCATTTTGTTGAGCAGTAGTATCCACTTTTTTCTGGGGCGGGGTTAGATGCGGCTCTCCAGTACAGGATTAAACAGGGTCTTAGTTGTTCTCTCGAAATGGCTGTACCACTCCAACGGACTCCCTCCCCGATGAGCCGTACCAGTCGAGGGGGCCCCCCTTCTCCGAGGGGCTGTACCACTCCAGCAGGCCCCCCCCTCCCCGATGAGCCGTACCACTTGGAATGGACCCCCCTCTATGACGAGTTGTACCACTCGAACGGGCCACCCCCACAACAAGCCCGCTTGGGCCTCTCTTAGTGTGGTGGCTAAGGGTGTGAGAACCTGATATGACACGACACGGTCCGGGGGTGGGGGGCGTCCTGCGGGGGGTGTCAGTGGAGTCGCCCCCCCCCCACCTTCCTGGAGTTTTCTAACTTCTGAAACTCGGTCAGAGAGGAGCGAGGTGTGACATGTCTGTGTAGCTGACACGCTGCTCCGCATCCCACTCGCCCCCCCCCATGCCTTACACCACAGTAACGCCTCACTGTCAAACACCATCTCCTCTCTATCTTTTTTAGATTTGTGGTCTGCCCCCCCCCCCCCCCCACATTTAATACTTGAGTCTCCCCAGTGCATGTGTGTATATTAGCAAGTTCGTTTATTCTTCCTCTCTGCAGGAATTTTTAAGAGGCCCCTTATTGTATTAAGAAGTGCAATAAGTACCACGCGGACCCTCTAGGGGGCGCCTTGTTACTTGGCAGACTCTGAGGTTTCCTTTTGGTGAACGCCAGGTTTGGCTTGAGTAAATAGTGTCAGCCTCGGCCCCGGAATGCTTACTGCCTCGTCAGCACCTTTAATTATAATAATAATTGATACTTTATTGATCCCCATGGGAAAATTGTCTTTACGCCTCCCTCAACTTGCCCTTTGTAGAGACGTGCTGAGGCTGCGTTTGAACCGGCGACATTCTGATTACAGGCACACAGGCTTAGCTCACTGAGGCTAAAACCCACACAAACACAGGGAGAGTGTGCGAACTCCACACAGAAAGGACCTATGCCCCCCCACCCCAGGATCGAACCCAGGACCTTCTTGATGCACGGCAGCAGCAGCTCCGTGCCGCCTCCTTACATACATGTTCTCCTTTTGCTGGTTCTTCAGAGGCGTCTCCTCTGTGAGGTTCTCCCTTTCGCTATCATTATTTCTTCATCGGCTGCATGAGCAGACACCGCAATGGACGTGTGCGTGGTGATGATCAGAGACTCCATTGTGCTGCTGTGCTGTTGACCTTGCCTTTCTCCTAAAGAATGCCCAGGAGGAGTGGTTCATACTGTATGGCTCCTTTAAAGCCTCCCCCCGCCATTAAAATGCCTTCTGATGGCCAGTTGATAAGCAACAGAGCCACACCTATTAGAGCACACCTCAGCGCTTCATGGGAGAGTCGCTGTTTCCACCGGCCACTAGATGGCAGCAGATCACGAGGATTGGAGCCGCTGGAGAGGAGAGGCTCAGTGTTGCCATGGTATTGACCTGATGCGTTTCGTCCCGGTCCCTGTGCGCCTGTCTGCCGTTTCGGGCTGTAATGCCATTTAAATACCCTCCCTGCGCCGAGCGAGTTCTGCTGCCAGCGCGCTGAGCTGATGTAAGCGGCAGATCTACTGAGCCGCGAGGATGTGTGCAGCACTTTAGCACTGCGTTCACATTGACTTTTGATAAATCGATACTTTTTGTCTCATTTGACAAACAGGCTTTCTACATTTTTATTTATTTTTTTTGCTTTTTCAGTTTTTAAGATTTCGTCACCCAGCCAATCGGGGCTGGTCTTACAGCTGTGGCTTTTCTACCACCTCTGCTTTTCAAGATCCTGGTTTACTTAGCAGCGATGTGGGGGAGAGAGCAGCTGACTGGTGGATGCCATGGAATGGGCCCCTCCTTTCAGCCTCCTCTGTCTGTCTGGCAGCTAGGTGGCACTGTGCCAGGTGTTTCGGCAGCCCTGTGGGAGCTGGATTCCAACCCCTGCAGGTGACCCCATCCCCGACCCTGAGCCCATTGCTTCGTCGCAGCACCCGTCATCGTTCCCGCAAGCCGAGCTTAAGAGGACCTCTCTGACCCCCCCGGACCCCCGAGATCCTTCTGCTGCCAGTGAGGGAACAGGAACCAATGGGAAACTTCCGCTAACAAGCTGAACAGACGAGCGTGCCGCTGATTGCGTTAGCGGCTTCTTATGCGCTTCTAAAATAAATGGGGGGGGAGGCTCTGAAATTGTCATTTGAATTGTGGCTTTCATTTCCCTGCGGTTTTGTTTAAGCAGATCAGCTCGAACCTCTCGTGTTATTTTCCCCTCTGTTTGCATTTCTGAACAAGCCACGTCGTCGTAATGAATTCCATTATTATAAAACCAATTACTTTAGTTAGCTTCTTTAAAAAATAAATCAGCTTCCTTTTGTGGCCTTTTCCTCTATGGAATTGTAGCACCGCCGGTTTGCACGGCGACAGGCGTAATCTCCTGTCTTCAGTTGGCCAGGTGAGGGAGACGCGTAACGTTTCTCTCTCCTCTCTTTGGCCTTTTGGCCATTTTGCTTTTTTTTCGTCAATCTTTTTCCCGTCAATTCGTGTTTAGGCTTGATCTGCGATCGCCCCAGCTGGCAGGATGTCGGCAAGAGTCCGCCAAGGGGTAACCGTGGTAACCTTGGGAATTTGGAGTTGGGCACAGGGAGCAGAT